TAGATAAATTAACACATTTGTTGTATGTTTAATTATTTGATAGTATTGTTTAATACATTTTAGTATGTTTTATAATACATTTTAATATGTTTTATAATACATTTTAGGCCTACATATATTATTAGCTATTTTAGTTTTTATTTAATTTTGTTTCAGAATGTTCATTTGTCATTTTTTATATTTTGTTATATTACTGTTCAGGTTTAATTTGTATTTTCAGTTTTGGTTTTAATTACGTTTTTGTTTTGTTTTCCAGTTAATTTTATTGATTCCACTTAAGTTTATTTAATTTAGTTATCATTTCTAAGTTTTATTTATTTTACATTTTTCATTTAATATTTATATTCTATTTTATTTCCATACCAGTAATAAAAGACTGTAAAAATGCAGCAAAACAAGTTCCCTTACAGTGAAAAAGTAGATACATTTATGTAATTTTACAGTAACATACTATTAAATGTAAAATTTTTTGGAGAAAAGAAAAAATAATTTTATAAATTACAGAGAAAACTATGGAAGCCCGTTTCCGCCACTAAATAAAAAAATATAATTCTGTAACACTAGATTCCTATAGAGCTCTATAAAAAAGGCTTATAAATTATAGTTGTTTTTAGACATAAATACAAGATTTTTTAAGATTTGGATTTATATAAAGACATTCTCAAAGACAACTTGTTGTAAAGGTTAAAATGTTTTGTTTGAAATGTTGGTTTGAAATGTCAGTTTTTGCATTAAAACTGTGTTTTTCATTAAAAATGTGTCTCTGTGTGCGTGTGCACGTGTCTGTGTCTGTGTGCATGTGCACGTGTCTTTGTCTGTGTGTGTGTGTGTGTGTGTGTCTGTCTGTGTGTGTCTGTGTGTCTGTGTGTGTGTGTGTGTGTGTGTTTCAGGTATCGGCGACTGCTGAGAAAGCCTGTTTTTTTCCCTGATGAGCTCACAGTCGACACGGAGCCGCTGTTTGAAACGATGGATGGAAAGATGGGCGAGTTCATTGCTGAATTGCGGCAGCACATCAACACACTCCTCAGCACCGTCTGTGAGTCTAAGACCCGCTCATACAGTCATACAGTCTCTTTTTATTAGACATATGCAGGCTCTATGGTTACCACTTTAACAGAGAGTTATTTTAACTGTTATTTCTCTGATTTAAGTAAAGGTGGTCTTCATGACTGTGCATGGTTGGCATTGAAAGCTGCAAATGGGATGGATATTCCACGTGTGGGGTATGTAGAACTTGATGATAGTTTATTTGGGGTCACATTACCTAGGAAAGGGATTTTGATAGTAAAGGATGCCTGTTCTGCAACTATGTATGCTCAGAAGGAGAAAATTCCAGCTGTGTTGGGTATGAATATTATTCGAGAGTGTTATGTCAACTTATTTAATGAACATGGTGCTGAGCTTTTTCAGATTCCCTGAATACGATCAGCTACCTCAGCATGGAAACAGGCACTCCGCTGTTGTCAAAAAATTGAAGCTGGTTCAAGTTCTTCTTCTGTATTTAAGGTGAGAGTGGAGGCTCTTTGGTATATGCAGAGAGGGGGTTAGTGTATGCACCCATTGTTAATGTAGGGGGCACCCCGGCGTATTATAGGTACAGTCCAAATAGTGAAAGTGCCCCTGGACTTAGGTTACAAATTTGTCCTGAAAATGTTTATAGTGCCCAAGTGTCTGTTCATGTAGTTGAGCCATTGTTTAGTTGCAACATTGACTTTCCATCTTTTGAAGGACTTTCGGAACAGGAAGTGGAACAGGCAAAGCAGTTACTTAATAAGTATCAGGTTATTTCTACTACTGAGGGCGATATAGGGTGTACAGCTTTGATTAAACATGAGATTCCGCTAGTGGATGATAAACCAGTTCGACAACCATATAGACAAATTCCTCCTTCTCAATATGAGTCCGTAAGGTCTCATATTCAACAGCTTTTGGATAGTAAGGTGATAAGGGAGAGCAGTAGACCTTATTCATCCCCAATTGTCCTGGTGCAGAAGAGGGATGGAACAATTAGGACGTGTGTTGACTGTCGTCAATTAAATGTGAAAACCAGAAAGGACGCTTATACGTTGCCGCAAATTGAAGAGTCTTTGGATGCTCTGACTGGGGCAAGGTGGTTTTCCACCTTAGATTTAGCAAGTGGGTACAATCAGGTTGAGGTAGCTGAGGTAGATAAGGCGGAGGCAGCTTTCTGTACTCCATTTCGGCTGTTTGAATTCAATCATATGCCCTTTGGGCTGTGTAATGCACCAGGAACATTCCAAAGACTCATGGAACGTTTTTTTGGGGATAGGCGGTTCTCTTCTTTGCTTTTGTATCTATATGATATAATTGTGTTTTCCTCTTCTGTACAGGAACATTTGTTACGCTTGGAGGAGGTCTATAAGCGATTGCAGCAGAAAGGTCTTAAGATTAAACTGAGTAAATGCAGTTTTTTTTTCAGAAGCAGGTAAAGCATTTAGGGCATCTGGTATCTGAGCAGGGTGTTGCCACTGACCCTGATAAAGTGGCGGCAGTAAAAGAATGGAGTCGCCCATCACATCTGGCAGAGCTTCGTTCATTTTTAGGTTTTGCCAGCTATTATCGCCAGTTTATTGAGGGATTTGCTAAGCTGGCTAAGCCTCTTCATGAATTGGTAACGAGACTGAGTAGTTCTGCAAGAAAGGGTAAGACCCCACGGCTGCCTTTGGTGTCTGTGTGGAATGCAGAGTGTGAGAATGGTTTTCAAACATTAAAGGCAAAGTTGGTTACAGCACCCGTGCTTGCATATGCAGATTTTCACAAGTCTTTTGTGGTGGAGATAGACGCTAGCCATCAGGGTTTGAGGGCAATTTTGTCCAAGGAGCAGGGTGGTAAGCGTCATCCCATTGTGTATGCCAGTAGGGGTCTGCGGAGGACAGAGCGAAATATGGAAAACTACAGCTCAATGAAATTGGAGTGTTTGGCCCTGAAATGGGCTGTATGTGATAAGTTTAGGGAATATTTGTTGGGGAATAATTTTGTTGTTTACACCGATAATAATCCTCTCTGTCACTTTCAGACCTCAAAGTTGGGCACTTTGGAGCAGCGGTGGTTATCACAGCTGGCCTCTTTTAATTTTGTGATCAAGTACCGACCAGGAGGGGTAAATCAAAATGCAGATGCGTTGTTTCGGCAGGCCATGAATGATGTATTGCCAGGAACAGAACTTCCCCAAGTCTTACAGCAGCAGTTGAGGGAATGATCTCCAGAGCAGATAGTGGTGAGTGCCAGTGAAGTTGCTTTTTTGCCTGGACATTCATAGGAAGATCTCTCTTACCTCCAGAAGACAGACCCAATTATTGGCCCTATTATAAAGGCTTGGAATGTGGGCAGTGTTTTACGTTCTTCAGAGTTGACTGGTATGGATCGAGCTGTAAAGGAGCTGGTTAGGCAGTGGGATCGATTGTGTGAGAAGGATGGGTGCCTTTATCGTTTATCGTATACACCTGATGTCATCGAGAGATCTATCAGTTGCTGTTACCTCAAAAACTTCAAAGGGAGGTATTCAGCAGTTTGCATGACAGTCATGGGCATCAAGGTAAAGATCGAACGGCAGAATTAGTGAAGAATCGTTGTTATTGGCCAGGGATGATGAGAGATGTGGAACGGTGGTGTAGGGAATGTCAGCGGTGTATTCTCGCTAAAGCAGTCCAACCGAAGGTGAGATCTTTTATGGGAACGTTACAAGCATCCCGCCTTCACGAAATGTTGGCCATTGATTTTACCTTGTTAGAGCCAGCAAGTGATGGGAGGGAGAATGTTTTGGTGCTCACTGATGTTTTTTCTAAGTTTACGCAAGCTATCCCGACTCGGGATCAGCGATCAAGCACTGTGGCAGAGGCATTGGTTCGGCATTGGTTTCATTTGTTTGGGGTCCCATGTCGTCTACATTCAGACCAAGGGCGAAATTTTGAAAGTAACCTTATTGGTCAGTTATGTAAGGTTTATGCTGTACAGAAGAGTCGCACAACTCCGTACCATCCGCAGGGTAATGGGCAGTGCAAACGTTTTAATCAGACTCTCCATGACCTGTTGCAGACTTTGCCACCAGAGAAAAAAAAACGGTGGCCTCAACATCTGCCACAGCTTGTCTATGCTTATAATACCACAGTGCATTATTCTACTGGTATGAGCCCACATTTCTTAATGTTTGGATGTGAACCCAAATTGCCGGTTGATTTCTTGTTAAACAATCAGTTGGAAGAGACTGTAGAGACGCCTGGACAGTGGAGTGTCGAACATCAAGCTAGGCTTCGGGCAGCACATAGTGAGGTACAGGAGAGGCTGAAAGAAAAGGTTGCTCGTCGTAACAGACGCTATCAGGGTGGAATAAATGACCAGGGTTTTAGAAAAGGTGAGTTGGTCTACCTCAAAAACCATGCTTGTGTGTTTTAGCTTAGTTTTGATGTAATCTAGAATAGCCAATAAAATTAATGTTTCATTGATAACGAAACAGATATTCATATTGTTAAAACCTACTAAGAATCACCAGCTCGTTGGACGACCCTTGATTTAAAGTGTAAACTATCAGATTTGAATTCAGCTTTAATCAGGTTGACTCAGAATTTTCCGATTTGAGTCCTTTTAAAACCTGAATGAATTAATAATAATTAATTCCCTTACAAATTAGTTAATTTAATTACAGTGCGTTGGAGAGTTCCGGTGTATCGAAGGCTCAGCCCTTAGGGCTGAGGCGTTCTAGGAGAACTACAGCAGGTCAGCACTCAAATCCATATAGACTGCCCGGGCCGGTAGTTGCACCAGTAGAGGAGTTGTAGCCCTGGAAACAGATTTGATGTGCTGTTCTTGGGCGAAGAGTTTATGGTGTGTGTGTGTGCATCGGCGGGTCGCCGATTAATATCTGGGGGAAGAATGTAGCCGGAGAGGTGGCTAGTAGAGGGCATGGCCATGCAGGTGGTTTGAATTTTTAAGTGGAATTTTTTTGTGTGGAAGCTCGCTGTCTGGTAGCACTTCTCTGTTTGTTTGTGCACGGACATGGTCTGGGTGAGCAGACACAAACATTGTGCTGTCCTCTGTATGTGTAGTACCTCTGTGCTTGATTGTGCACATGGTCCGGGTGAGCAGGTAGGCTAAACGAACATTGGTTGTTTTGATAACAAAGCCTTGTTTCATTGAAGTAGGATATTATGTTTTTAATGTAGATGTAAACATCGTGGATTTGTTTGCTGTTGGTCACGCTCATTCTTCTTTGATCTGGAAAACCTTTGGAAAGTAGTTCGGGATTGATGGCGGTGTTGCAGGTAATTGTAGAGGTTTTTATGTAGGATTTGTAAGCGTTTTGCTTTTATTATTTTAATGAGATTAAAATAAAAATTTAAAATTAGAGTCATTTTTCCTTGAATGTTGTTAATTGTGTTTGGTTATTTGTTTTTTTGTATTAGGTTTAGTTGATCGCTGTTCCTCCAGTGTTTGTTATTTTGTATTTCCTCAGCTAGCCGTCCCTGTATGTGCACGCTGTATGCTTCCAGCGCAATTAAGATTTGATGATTGTTGAGAATCGGACTGGCTAGCAGAGTGTTTTATTTTCTTTCTTGTTTGTTTGGTTTTCTTATTTGTACATCACTTCCAGCCTCGTGTTGCCAACAAACCTTTGTACTGTTTATACATGTTGATGCTTTGAAACATATGCATTATTTATTTGCATGAGGGTTATGTTTGCAGTTATATTAACCATTGATTTGGAGTACTTCTTTTGAGTGATGTGTGTCTTGCATGAATTAGGAATTGAAGGGTGTTTATGTAATTTCCTTTTTTTCTTTTTGAATTAATTTGTGCAGAGAAGCTTGGATTGTATTGGGGTTTATAGAGGGCTGGCTGGCTATTAATATTATTTTTATGAGGAGAAATGCATTTCTGTTATATGATGTATTTTGTTTGTGTTTATTTTGTTATATTGGTTCATTTGTATGAATAAACATTTTTTTGTGATGTAAGTTTATGATTACTAGTTTTTTGTGGTCACCCTTGCTTGAAGGAGGAGTAACACATAGTTCCCAGGCTGTTCTACAGTCTTATATATGAATGAACACAGGAAACTTTAGGCCGCTGCGAGTCTCTCCGTCTCACACAGCACAATAAAAACAGTGTGAATCAAACACGCTGTACCTGCCTGTCGAGTGAGATAATGGTAGCAAGTGTTTGAAGATGAAGTCTCAGGTTCTGCTTTGTAATAAAGTGGAATATATGACCAGGATTGTTATATGTACAGCTGGCGTCTCGGCTTTGTCTTCAAGTCTCAAGTTCTGGCATCTGGAACTTCATGACCCTCGAGATTTTTATATTAATGTACGTCCGGCCTTGTCATGTTTATTCAAAATTTTAAAACTTGGTCTTTCTGGTGAAAACGACAGACTTCTCCAGTCATTCCAGACATTACCAAATACTTATGCTGTCGGTTTCCACAAGGCTCCTTCAGCGTGGTAACTCAAGAATGAAACATTCGGTGCAATTATGTTATTTTGAGAGTCATATCATTGGTGACGAAGAATGTGAGCCGTGCTTTGGTAAGTGTGTGTGTGTCTTTAACAGCATGTTGAGTACACATTTACTCAAGGAGAAGTACTGTAAGCACATGTGAATGTGTGGAAAACAATAGTTCACCCAAAAATGAAAATGTGATGTTTATCTGCTTACCCCCAGGGCATCCAAGATGTAGGTGTGTGGGAGAAACTGAACAGTATTTATATCATTTTTTTACCTCTAATACACCACTATGTCCAACTGCCTTGAGCGTGCGCACGGCATCCGGTGCGTGAGGGGTGTACGCGATCTGGCGTAGTTTACGTTAATGGGTGTGTTCAGGTGTCCAGTTGGATGTAGTGGTGTATTAGAGGTAAAAATTATATAAATACTGTTCGGTTTCTCGCACAAACCGATCGTTGCGTGTCTTAGGAGATCAATGTGTCACAAGCCGCAGGGTTTAATTTGGATTTGTCTGTGCATGTTTTTTTTTACTCTCATAGATTTTGTTACCATTGCCATGCATTATACGACTGATAGACTGCAACAGTTAAAGTTAAAAATCATCATATGTGTTCTACTGAAGAAACAAAATCACCTACATCTTGGATGCCCTGGGGGTAAGCAGATAAACATCAAATTTTCGTTTTTGGGTGAACTATCCCTTTAAGTGCTACTTAGGAGTCGCTATCCGTTTGTCAAGTGCTGAAATGTCACCTTATTCATGGGTTTCAGTCACGTGACTTTTTTGTTGCGGCCGCCATCTTTAGGACCTTGCATAGCCTCTCCATGGTGGTCGGAATGATGTCACACACTAAAATAGCACATCTTACCATCGAAGAAAAGCAACGCTATTTAATGAAAATAGATACTTTAGGATTAGATCCTTATTTACTGCCAAGCGAACTGCAGATTTCACTGAAGTCTAGTAAAATCTTGCCAAATTTGACGTTTGCTGATATTTACATCTACCTCATCCACAATCCTTCTCCATACACCGGTGAAGCTCTCAAGGCTTTTAAAAGCACTGAAGCCTACCGCTACTTCACTTCAGGATGGGTTAATGATCCCAAAATGTATCATCTGGAGATCAAGAAAATTTTCTTGATCACAGGAAGGGTAAGTGGGATTCTGTTACTCAAGCAATATTAAAGTTAACATACGAATAGCGTAAGTATCACTGAACTGAATTGCTAATAATTATCGGTAAAGCACATCTCTTGTATTATCAGTCACGCTAGGACACCTTTATGCAGAAAGGGCACTTTTTTGTGTCGGCACTTAAAAGGGCAGAGGCATGCCACTCCCTTTTTGTAATTAAAAGTAACGTTAGTTTAGAATCAGAATCAGAAAGAGCTTTATTGCCAAGTGTATTTATACACACAAAGAATTTGTCTTGGTGTCAGGAGCTACAGAAAGTACAGACATAGTGCAGACATACGTGTATGTATGTATGTATGTGTGTGTGTATATATATATATATATAAATTTGCAGGTGAAGCATTCCCAAAGCCTCAGTGTAACCCCAACACACCCCTGGATAACAGTACAGGATGATGGGACTGTTCTCATGGCTCACTGCACCTGTTTGGCTGGCTTGGGAGAGGTATGCTCTCATGCAGCAGCTTTAATGTATTGTGTTTTGGCTGCTGTTGATGTCAGGAATGGGCAGGCTTGCACCCAGAAGCCTTGTGCATGGGCCCAGCCAAGTACAGATTCTGTCCAATATGCAGAGATCCGTAACATCAGTTTCTGTCACAAGCAAGAGCCCCGTCATGTTCAAGGTTTTCCTGATATTACACCATCAGATGAAGAGTGCAAGATGTTTTTTGAGATGCTTCATCAAACTGAAATGCAAGAGCCAAAGAAAAGTGCCATTCTTTCTGTCATTGAGGGACATTCCCACAGGTACACAGTCGTGAAATGTAACTATTATAAGTGCATTCAATAACATATAGTGAGGCTCATACTTTTGTTGATTTAAGTATACATTTTAATGCAGGAGTTTCACCTGTCACAACATATTTTTACTCTATAGTATTGCAATTTTTTAACTTAAGTCATATATCTGAGTACATCTTCCACCACTGCAGGTACACACCAAAGTTGATGCAGCTGGACTTGCCCACTCCTCTGTCAATTTTATATTCAAGTGCCTGGCTAAAGGTGGACTTGCCCACGCTACTGGTTGAGAGTACCAAGGTCTTTGATAAACTACATCTGACACAGCAACAGGTAAGTATAAAAACAGTCAAATAATTACCACTTAAATTTCAACCTGTGGTGTTGAAATTCATGATAAGCTAGATAATTATCTAATGAACTAACAAACCTTTTCCCAGTGTTTGGTAGTTGCGGAGGAGACCAGGGAGCAAAGCAAAAGTAGGGTTTGGTTTGATCAGAGGGCAGGGAGAGTCACAGGGTCAGTATTCTATGAGGCAGCCAGAGCAAACAGACCGGTATCCTTGATCAAAATAATTTGCTATCCACGCTCTTCTCAGTTTTCCACTGAGGCAACAAGGTACATAAAATAAAGCACAATTAAACATGGTCAAGGTTTGGTATGTTTAGTTACTTGTCATGATGGCCATTCAATACAAGTTACTTGTCATGATGGCCATTTAATATTTTGTGGTTGATGAAACGATGCGTCTGAGCTCATGAAAAAATGTGTTAATTGTATTAATTTAAAAGAAGTCTTAAATGATTCAGAGTGCTACATGGATATTTCAAGATAAAATATTTTCAAAGATCCTTGTGCTGCATTCTATATTCGCACACATTTCTCGAAAATTGTGTTAAATACTTCATTTAATCAAATCAAATTCAAGGAATACTGATGTATATGAACAAAGAGAAGCCAAGAACACAAAGAGCTTGCTAACAGTACAGCAGAACTGTTTGCAAAAGGCAAAAGCAGCATGGCTTTTCCTGACAAAGAACATGGAAAACAGACACTCACGCACAAAACTTTTGCAATCACACACGACAATACAATACGAATTGTGATGTTAAAATGAAACGTGCAGTCAGTTTCATAATTATTTTCTCATCATTTACTCACCAAGTTGTTCCAAGCCTCTATGAGTTTCTTTGTTCTGGTGAAGGTATTTTGAAGAATGTTCAACTAAATTAAACTAAACTGTTTGGTTACCAACATTCTTCAAAATATCTTCTTTTGTGTTCAACGGAAGAAAAAAGTTCATACAGGTTTGGAACAACTTGAGGTTGAGTAAATTATGACAGTTTACATTTTTGGGTGAACTATCACTTTAATTTTAGAGGATTCTTTTGGATTGGTTCCAAATTATGATTAAATACCCTAACGATTTCCTTGAAAATGTCTTACAAATTCAAAATTGACAAAAAGGGGGAATTGCTAGAGTTATTTTTTTTTGTAAGACGTTAACACTGCATCATATTATTATTATTATTATTATTTAGTTCTAAAATAGTAACTCGATTAAGTTTTAAGTTAACGTACATTTATAATAACTCAGAATAACACAGACGTTTATTTTATTTAAACAGATAAGGTAACAAATCTGAACTGTTTTATTGTATGTTTTTTAATTGAAAAACAACCTATTTACATACAAATTCTGAACTGATTAATTTTTATTTTTTTTTTTTTATTAAGTACAAAATCTGAATAGAACAAACTGGCATTAATTAGTATACAAAAACGTTTCTGGTATGGAAGGCTCAACACAATAGAAACATAATAAGCTCCAGACAAGTCATATAACAAAACATTCCAAGAAACATAAAATATAAAATAAAAAAATAAAAAATACATAATTAAAACAAATTATATAATACAAACAAATTAAGTAGTTTTACTGCTTTTGGATTTTTAATTTGACTAAAGGCATCTGAGAAGTATATTAGATCAATTTTAAATACAATAAACAAAGGAGGGGATTTAAAATATCTACATTTATGTATAAAGTATTTTGCTAATAATATAATATTATT